TTTAAGAGCCAGCAGGGTCTGTGTCTCTTTAAGAGCCAGCAGGGTCTGTGTCTCTTTAAGAGCCAGCAGGGTCTGTGTCTCTTTAAGAGCCAGCAGGGTCTGTGTCTCTTTAAGAGCCTCTGTATAAAAGGGAAGGCTACGCTGATGTGTTTTCTCTCTCTTCCGTTTCTTGCTATAACTGTGTTGTGTTGGGCCCTGCTGTATTAACACGTGTGTGTATATTGTTCCTTGTGTATGATATTGTAGGTAGTGTAAGATAAACCACCATTTAATATAGACCACCATTTACTGTATTTACTCCTGGGTTATCTCATACAATAAAACCGTGCATGGTCTGACATTTATTTATTTTATTGGACATATTGCCCACCTTAGCTGTCCCCCAAGCTGGAGAAAACACCTGCTATGGCCCCACCCTTGCCGATGCCTCCGGGTTAAGGATGCTGCCCTATGGCTCCCAGCTTTGAGGGGGGGGGTTCTTTTCTATTCTCTCCCATGGCCTCCTAGCTGGTCTGCTACTCCTTCAGACCAGAGTCCCTGGGGCACCTTGTCTCAGGAATTCTGGGAGTTGAAGTCCACAACCCCTGCTTTAGACCCATGTAGAAAACCTTCGGCCCCTTTAAGCATCTCGGACTAGGAGACTATTTCCCATAAAGCACAGCCATAAAGCCAGGCAGATGTATGGTTTTTTTGGGGGGGGGGGAGAGGGGAAGAAATTCAACAGTGGGAGAAAGTTGAGAGAAATGAAGGCAGAGGCAGAAATGAGGGGAGCCGAAGCATTGACGGATGACCTTCCCTAGTTGGGTCATGGATCGTCTGCAAGGAAACCCCCAAGCCCAGGGATCACCCAGGACCCCCACAATCCTCCTCCTCCTCCCCCTCCTCTCCAGAAACCCCTCTCCCTCCCAGCACTGATGACGTTACCTAGTTGGGTCATGAAACCTCTGCAAGGAAATCCCCAAGCCCAGACAGCTTCCAGGGCCCCAGAGCTGAAGGGGGCCTGGATCAGAAGCAGAGGGGCGCGCCTGGCGTTGCAGGTCAAACGCTAAAAATGGAGGTACAAGTGACCGTTATCGGAGCCGAGCCCACGAGCACTGACCAGTGTCCAGAGGACGTAGATGGTGAAAAGGGCGATGGTCAGGGCAATGAGGCCGATGGCCTCCAGGTGGCTGTTGAACTGCATGTGGTCCTGGGCGCCCCGCAGGCAGAGCCAGCCCGAGATGGCCGCCAGCGGAGTGATGAAGAGGAAGCAGGCCATGTCGCAAAACAGCGTCCGCTTCTCGTTGCGCGGCCCGGGATGCCTGAGCCACTGCAGGGGGAGGACAAAGAGAAGAGAGAACAACACCGTTGGAAGGGACCTCGGAGGTCTTCTAGTCCAACCCCCGCCTGGAGCAGGAGCCCGTGTCATTTCAGACCAACGGCTGCCCAATATCTTCTCGAGAAGCTCCAGTGTTGGAGCATTCACCACTTCTGGTGGCAAGCTGTTCCACTGGTTAATTGTTCTCACTGTCAGGAAGTTTCTCCTTAGTTCCAGGTTGCTTCTTGATTAATGTCTATGGAGATTCTCAGCCATCCAAGCCATGGTTGTCCCAAAGGGGCTTTTTTCTGGAGGCAACTGGACTGCCTTGTTTTTCCTTCCAAGACGTTTCGCTTCTCATCCCAGAAGCTTCTTCTTCAGCTTTGACTGAAGAAGAACTTTCTCCACCATCCAGTCAGAGCTGAAGAAGCTTCTGGGAGGAGAAGCGAAACGTCTTCAAAGAAAAACAAGAAAGTCCAGCTGCCTCCTCAAAAAAGCATCTTTGGGATGACTCTCCTTGATTTAGTTTCCCTCCGTGGCTTCTCATCCTGCCTTCAGGCGCTTTGGAGCATAGCTTGACTCCCTCTTCTTCTTTGTGGCAGCCCCTGCGATACTGGAACGCTGCTATCATGTCCCCCCTAATCCTTATCTTTGTTAAACTAGAGCAGTGGTTCTCAACCTTTTTAATGCCGCGACCCCAACCGGTCGTAAGTCGAGGACTAAACCGGTCGTAAGTCGAGGACTAAACCGGTCGTAAGTCGAGGACTACCCAACCGGTCATAAGTCGAGGACTTTCCCTGCCCGGGAGCGTCGCGCATGCATAGTTCTGCCCCCTGCGCCGGCCGAGGCGTAGCTGGCAAGCGGCAGAGACGGAGCAGGCCGACCACCAGCTGGCCCAGCCCAAGGGAGGTAAGGCACCCGCCGGAAAAGGGGGAAAAAATGGCGGACAGCCTTGCTTGGCGACCCCTGTGAAATGGTCGATCGACCCCAAATGGGGTCGCGACCCATAGGTTGGGAACCGCTGAACTAGAGTCTAGTCCAGGGGTAGGCAACCTTGGCTCTTTTATGACTCCTGGACTTCAACTCCCAGAATTCCTGAGCCAGCCTGGCTCAGCATGGAAACCTCTCCCTTTCCCCTCAGCGTGGCTGGCTGAGGAATTCTGGGAGTTGAAGTCCACGAGTCATCAAAGAGCCAAGGTGGCCTACCCCTGGCCTAGACAGACCCAATTCCAGCAACCGTTCTTCGTAGCTTTTATCCTCCAGCCCCCCGATCATCTTTGCTGCTCTTCTCTGCACTCTTTACTCTTTCCAGTGTCTCAACGCCTTCTTTAGAGGTTGAGAGGAAGGAGAACATCAGGTGGGGAAAGCTGCAACGGGGAAGGAGGGGGGCAGGAGGAAGGAGGCAAGTGGACAAGACGTCACACAATCCTCCTGCCAGTGGCTCCTGCCCAGGGCTGGTTCCACATCCCCCAAATCCATCTGGCACCTGAAGCCCATCTCAAGCCACCCAGGGCAACCCTGGGATGGGTCGGGTCAGAGGCCAACCGAATCGCGCTGGTCCACCTGACCCGTCACCGGCTCCCAAGACGGTCCCAGATGAGCCCAGCCAACGCTCTCCTTGCGTGGGACAAAGCCCCCTCCCCTCGCCCTCTCGGTAGGAGCCCGGGAGATGCACCCACCTCCGACAGGGGCCGGGGCCGCCTTTCCACCACAAACTCCGTGTGGCACAGCTCGCAGTAGCTGGTGTTGGAAGAGGACAGCCACTTCTCAAGGCAGCTTTTGTGGACGGTCCCCAAGGTGCCGGTGCAGTTGCAGGGCGAGAGGAGGCCCTCCCAGCTCCCGCCTTCGTGGCAGATTCGACAGATCGGACCATCGCTGGAAAAGGAAAGGGAGACACCAGTAAGAAAACGGCCACCAGGTTCTCCAGGGCCTGGGGGAGGGAGGGGAGGGGAGGAGGAGAGGAGGGGGAGGGAATGGAGGAGAGGTCTCCCGTCCGTTTTGGGAAGAGTGCCACAACCTTACTGGAAAAACTCTTCGCTCCCGGGGCTGGCATCCCGAAAGCCGACACTCGGGCCGTCTCCGTCTCCGAGAGAAGCCGGCCCAAATTCCAGTTGGTGCGTAATTTATTAAGCTACTAAAACCCCTCGGTTTGTAACCTTCAACTGGCCGAAACGGCCCATCCCAGGGCCCTGGGTTTTGGACTCGATGGGCTTCAGGTGGGCTAGCTTAGGGGTAGGCAACCTTGGCTCTTTTATATGACTCGTGGACTTCCACTCCCAGAATTCCCCAGCCAGCATGGGGAATTGAATTGAACCAACTTTAGGACGGGTGGACTTCCACTCCCAGAATCCCCCAGCCATCCTGCTCCTCCGCAGGGCTGCTGCTACTCTGATGTCTGCCCCCGAGGGCTGTTTTTATGAAGCCGCCGCCAGCGTGCCAGGGCTATGGCGGCTTCTCCTCCTCCTCCTCCTCCCTGGCTGGGCCCGGGGAAGCCCCCTGGATTCCATCCGCCCGGGATGCTCCTCTCCTTCCTGGGGGGGGGGTCTCCTTGGGAGCCAGACCCGGCCTGACTGTCTCACCCAGGCAGGTCTGCTCGCAGGCAGCCCAGGTGGGGCGTGCCCAGAATAAAGGTCTGAAGGGTCTCTTGGCATCATCAGCCTTGCCGGCTCCCAATTTCTTGACATTAAACTGGGGAGGGGGAAGGGAGTTGCGAGTCAAGACTCACAATGGGTGCAACACAACCTAAGATTCTCTGTAACTTTGGGCCATTGCTTCCCTCCTCTTCAAAGCCGAACGGCCTTCAGGGTTGCAGCCTCGGAGGTGCCCATCCAACTCCTGCCCGCTGCTCTGCTCTCGCGCTGGCACGCACCCCCCCACCCCCCCACCCACCCAGACACCCACCCTCCCCCAGACATTAGTCAAGCCAGCCTGGACCGGGCCTCACCTCTGCGGGCCCAGGGCTTTGATCACGGTGGAGAGCAGCCGCCCGTCCTTGGCGGTGACCTGGGTGACGTACTGGGGGCGCCCCAGATCCGAATCGTCCACTGACTTGGACAAGGTGGCACTGCCCGGGCAGTCACACAGCGAGCCAGGGAGGTGGCAGCAGTCCCCCGTTGTCATGGCAACGGGGGAGGGGGGGGCACGACGACGCTGGGTTCAGCAGCCAGACAGCCGGTTCATGATACGCTGGAAACCAGAGAGAGAGAGAGAGGGGGGGGGATATGAAACGAGAAAGGCCCGTGCATGCCGTTTCTTTATTAGATTTTAATCAATCAATCAATCAATTTTTATGCCACCTGGAGTGCAGCTGATTCTAGACTCTCTTTTTCAGCCGGCAGTCCAAACTGGGCTGCAAGGAAGGAGCTTTCCCACGCTAATTCATGTTGCTCGGCGCATCCCCTGAATCGGCTAAGGTTTGTGTTGTTTTTTTTAAAATTAAAAGAGAGCAACACACACACACAATACACAATATCTGTCTTGCGATTCTGGCCACCAGCAGAAGACTCCTGCAGAGGAGAGTTGTAAAAAAACCCAAAAAGAGACATGAGCGGGTGTGGAAAAAAACGATCTTCGACACACCCCGTTAAAGTGGTGGGTGATAAGGCCGCAAAAAAGGAAGAATTTAGAAATAGAAGGTGCTACGTACAGCCAGGGGTAGGCAACCTCGGCTCTTTTATGACTGGTGGACTTCAACTCCCAGAATCCCTGAGCCAGCATCTGCCTCTGCCCTCTTATTTTCCAAAAGAAAGGGGCTGGGTCAAAGCAACGGCAGAAGATTGACTGACACGACTTAATCCACCCGTTTCCTTTTTTCCAAAATGAATGTGGGATCCGACCGCTTGCTCTGGGGAAACAGCCTCCCGAACCAGCCTTTGCTTAATAATAATAATAATAATAATAATAATAATAATAATAATAATAATAATAATTAATAATAATAATAATTAATAATTAATAATAATAATAATAATAATAATAATAATAATAATAATAATAATAATAATAATAATAATAATAATAATAATAATAATAATAATAATAATAATAGTAAAGTTGGAAGGGACCTTGGAGGTCATCGAGTCCAACCCCCTGCCCAGGCAGGAACCCTACACCATTTCAGACAAATGGCTGTCCAGTCTCTTCTTAAAAACTTCCACTGTTGGAGCATTCACCGCTTCTGGAGGCAGGTTGTTCCACTGGTTAATTGTTCTAACAGTCAGGAAGTTTCTCCTTAGTTCCAGGTTGCTTCTCTCCTTGATTAGTTTCCATCCGTTGCTTCTTGTCCTGCCTTCAGGCGCCTTGGAGAATAGCTTGACTCCCTCTTCTTTATGGCAACCCCTGAGATACTGGAAGGCTGCTATCATGTCCCCCCTCGTCCTTCTCTTCATTAAACTAGACAGACTCAATTCCAGCAACCGTTCCTTGTATGTTTTAGCCTCCAGTCCCCTGATCATCTTTGTTGCTCTTCTCTGCACTCTTTCTAGAGTCTCAGCATCTTTTTTACATCTTTTTTATTTTTTATTTTTCCAAACTCTCCCCCATACATGTACCGTGATATTTATCAGATGTTAACATACATTCTTTTTACATTCTTATATATAAGATACTTTTGAATAAAATGAAATAAATACATACACGTGACTTTTGGTGTTGCTCGCCCATTTCCCTTTTCACTGTATCCACGCTCCTCCTTCTCTACCTTCTTTCTCCCTTTCTTCTCTTTCTTCCCTACTTCCCTCTTCTTCCTCTCCTCTTTCCTTCACCACTCTCCTCCCCTTTCTCCCCACTTCGCCTCTTCTCCTCCAACCTTCCTACTTCCTTCCCCCCCTTCCTTTACTCTTTTCTCTCTCCTCTCCTTTCTTCCCTCTATATCCCTCTTCAGATACAATTCAGGGGTCATGTCCGAGCAACTTCGAAGCAGCCTTTGCTTTAACCCCCCGGCAGCGCAGTGGGAAAAGGGGTCTCTGGACCTGTAACTCTTCCTGCCCTGATGCAGGAAAAAACCTCCCCACCGCTAACCTTTGGCCGTGCGGATGGAGACCAAAGGTCCCCTCGCAGCCGGTGACGGTCAGGAAGGCCTGTCCCCCCTGAGAGTGACGTATTTTCATACCGGTATAACATACGAAGAACGGCTGCAGGAATTGGGAATGGCCAGTTTAGAGAAAAGAAGGACCAGGGGGGACAGGAGAGCAGCGTTCCAGTATTTGATGGGCTGCCCCAAAGAAGAGGGGGTCACGTTATTCTCCAAAGCGCCTGAAGGCAGGACAAGGAGCAACGGATGGAAACTAACTCAAAGAGAGAAGCAACCTGGAACTAAGGAGAAACTTCCTGACAGTGAGAACAATTAACCCGTGGAACCACCTGCCTCCAGAAGCAGTGAATGCTCCAACACTGGAAGTTTTTAAGAAGAGACTGGACAGCCATTTGTCCGAAATGGTATATAGTGTTTCCTGCCTGAGTAGGAGGTTGAACTAGATGACCTGCAAGGTCCCTTCCAACTTTATCAACATTATTATTATTATTATTAAGATCATGCAAAGTATTAGTACCGCTTTATATAAATATCTCAGGGGTTGCCATAAAGAAGAGGGAGTCAAGCTATTCTCCAAGGCGCCTGAAGGCAGGACAAGAAGCAACGGATGGAAACTAACCAAGGAGAGAAGCAACCTGGAACTAAGGAGAAACTTCCTGACGGTTAGAACAATTAACCAGTGGAACAACCTGCCTCCAGACGCGGTGAATGCTCCAACAGTGGAAGTTTTTAAGAAGAGACTGGACAGCCATTTGTCCGAAATGGTATATAGTGTTTCCTGCCTGAGCAGGGGGTTGGACTAGATGATCTGCAAGGTCCCTTCCAACTTTTTATAACTATTATTACTATTATTATTTATTACTATTCGGAGCCCTTTTCAAACTCAGCGGCCGTCGCAGCATTCCCCCCACCCCCCCACGGTCACAGGATCAAAATTCGGCACCTTGGCACAGACTTAGGACAGTCGCCGTGTCCCGGAGGGTCATCTGATCCCCCATTTGCGACCTCCTGACAAGCCAAAGTCCCGGGGGAAGGCAGGTCCGCCTTGCCAGCCGTGTCGCTCACTTCACTGCAGTGATTCGCTTAACGAGGGTGGCCAGGAGGGTCGTAAGACGGGAGGAAACTGACTTAATGACTCGTTTAGCAACAGAAATTCTGGGCTCCACTGTGGTCAGGATTACCTGTAATATTAATTGTTCTAACAGTCAGGAAGTTTCTCCTTAGTTCTAGGTTGCATCAACGAGAGAAGCAACCTGGAACTAAGGAGAAACTTCCTGACAGTGAGAACAATTAACCAGTGGAACTACCTGCCTCCAGAAGTGGTGAATGCTCCAACACTGGAGGTTTTAAAGAAGAGACTGGACAGCCATTTGTCCGAAATGGTCTAGGGTTTCCTGTCTGAGCAGGGGGTTGGACTAGATGACCCCCCGAGGTCCCTTCCAACATTATTATTATTATTATTATTATTATTATTATTATTATTATTATTATTATTATTATTATTATTATTATATTATATGAGGGGAATCACCGCCAGAAGCTGGCTAAGCGTTTGTGTGTGTGCGCGCGCACGCGTGTGTGTGTGTGTGTGCGCACACACGTGTGTGTGTGTGTGTAGAATAGAATAGAGCTGGAAGAGACCTTGGAGGTCTTCTAGTCCAGCCCCCTGCTCAAGCAGGAGAACCTAGACCATCTCAGACAGGTGATTGTCCAGTCTCTTCTTAAAAATCTCCTGTGATGGAGCACCCACCATTTCTAGTGGCAAGCTGTTCCACTGGTCGATTTTCGTCACTGTCAGATTTTCGTCTCTCCTTGATTAGTTTCCAACCATTGTTTCTCATCCTGCCCTCTGGTGCTTTGGTGAGTAACTTGACTCCCCGTCTTCTTTGTGGCAGCCCCTCAGATATTGGAACGGAGCTATCATGTCTCCCCTATTTCTTCTTTTCTTTAGACTAGCCAAACCCAAGTCCTGCAGCCGTTCTTCGTACATTTTAGTCTCCAGGCCTTGGATCATCTTTAATTGCTCTTCTGTGAATTTTTTCCAAACTCTAAACATCTTTTTGGTGATATGGTGACCATAATTGGCTGCAGTATTCCAGGTGTGGTCTCACTAGGGTTTTATAAAGCACTACTAGTACTTTGCTGTGATCTTGATTTATATATATATATAAACACATACACACAGACACAGACACGCACAAAATGTAATATGAGGGGAATCATTGCCAGAAGCTAGCTTAGTGTGTATATATTTGGATTAGATACAGGGGTTCTCAACCTTGGCAACTTTAAGACTTGTGGACTTCAACTCCCAGAATTCCTCAGCCAGCAAAGCTGGCTGAGGAATTCTGGGAGTTGAAGTCCACAAGTCTTAAAGTTGCCAAGGTTGAGAACCCCTGGATTAGAACGAAAGCTCCGAGAAGCCTCACTCCCACACTCATACACACACACACACACACACTCCCACAGAGACACACTGACCCTTGCTGGCTACATCTGGCACGGAAAGGCCAGACAGGGGTTTGGTCTTAGAAACTGAGGTGTCAGAAGATGGGGAGGAATCGGAAACCTGTCAACGCCGACATCCCGAGGCAGTTCACGATGCCTTCAAATTCTAACACAGCACCGTGGAGGTGGGGGAAACGGCCCTGCTTTAGATAATATGAACAGAGGAAGAGAAAAGGTGCGTGTTGTGCACATGCTGGAGAAGCCAAGTTAAACAGTGTGTGTGTGTGTGTGTGTGTGTGTGTGTGTGTGTGTGTGTGTGTGTGTGTTCACGCCTTCGAGTCCCTGTGGGGTCCTAACAACTGCTTGGGCAAGTCCCCGTAGTTTTCTTGGCAGGGTCTCCAAAATGGCTGGCCTCTGCCTCCCTCTCTCCCAGGGATGAGAGAAAGCGACTGGGCCGAGGGCAGCCAGCTGGCCGCGTGCCCAAGGCAGGACTAGAACTCAGGGCCCCAGGGTTCCCAGCCTGGGACTTTGAAGCGTCAGTTACTCCAAGCTGGCTGTCCAAAACTAGAGGAAGCAGCTGTATCAAGGCTGGAAATGAACACAGAGCGAAAAGAGAGTTTTCCACACTCAAAAACTCAGA